GAAAAGTTTTCTCTCTAATTTACCAACAATTCTTTCACAGATTCAAGTATGAGCCGATAATTAACATTAATGGGCAATTAAGAAACTTTTATATCAGAGAAAAATGAAGAAAAAATTTTCAGTTTCTGGGAAGCAATTACGCAAATAGTAAAATCTAGTTTTCTCTCTCTAACTTCGTGATTTTATACGTAAGAGAAAATTTTAATAATACGCTTCTTTGCCTAAATATTTTACAGAAAAAATCCTATTGTAGAATAAAACCATTTGATGAGAGAACAATACATATGATTGTGCATTCTGCATTAAAATAGCAAATAAATTTGTTATAAGACCTTAGGGTTTTTTATTTTGGTTCGAGTGATAGAAGATAATTCTGTAAAACCTAGGATGTAAGATCAGGGTTAGCACTACATATTTTGTCATCCGGTGCTATCTTACCAGATTTTAAAGCCTGCTGCTTCCCTAAATTCTACAGATTTTGCCACTGGCTAATTTTGCTGCTCTATGCTTCTCTAAATTCTAGATATGTTGACATCCTTTGAGGTCGCATTAGCTTTGGCGCTAGCCTTGTCCAGAATAAACACCCAGTAAAAGTATTTCATACTAACTTAGAAAAGGAAAAAATACTAATATTGAAAGGGGAGGGAATATATAATATTTCCATAGGTTTCACTATTTTCAGAGCATTTTACGATTTACTCCATTAAATAAACTCGGCGTAAAACCGGTAAATTAACATATGTTCGACAAAGATGAGGGGAGGGGCGGAAGTTAAGTTTAGAGATGGACAAAAGCGCTCTTTTATGGGATTGGATCAGAAATGTTCACTCATTGAAATTAATCGATTCTTTTTGATGACTCAAAGCGTACTAAAATAGCCTTGATGAAAAAGATTCGGAACGAAAGGTGAATCAAGAACGGTTAACGAGGATGAATGGGAAAATGGAAAGAATGCAACGAACAGTGAGATCGAGACCGGTTAACTAGATTGAAGGGAAGAGCAAAAAAGAATCGAACGAATTGTGGTACCGAAAAAAATCGACTCAATTAAAAGCTAACTTCCTAAATTGATTTCTTTCAAGTGTAATTTTGAAAAAATTCCCTAAAACGTCTCTTTCTACACAGAGCTAGCAATAAAATTCTCGAATAAAAATTTTTCAAAAAGCTCGGAAATTATAAAAGTTAAACTCATAATTAACACGGGAGGATAAACATTCTTGTCGAACTTTCTGGCACGCTTCCAACAAAAAAAAAACGCTTTCTCTCTCTCTCTCTCTCTTTTTTTTTTTTTTTTTTTTCCCGCAAATCAGCCGTTCGGTGGCTCAGTAAAGTCAAACAAACAGTACAGCGGATCTCTCTTGCTTGCACACTTCTAACAATAGCTGGCCGTGAAATCCGTTTTCTTAACTTGGAGTAAATTCGCTCAATAAAGGGATTTGGTTCTTTGAATCAAAAGTTCCGGAACTGATCATTCCACTGTTCACAACTTTTCTCACAGCAGTCAATATCATTGTTTAAATTTTTAGTTATTTAATGACTCAGTTAGAATATATATACATTTCAGGTGTTTAATATGCTAATTATGTAAAAAAACCTCTCATTAATTTAACATGACACTTACATATGTTATTGCATACAGGTAAAATACACTAGAAGCCTGTATTCCAGTGTTGTTATTTTAACAGATTTTTCTAAATTAGTTAACTTTAAAGAAATAATAACATCTGTTGCTCACGAAGGTCTTAATTTTGCCTTTGTCAAAAAGAATAACTCTTGGAAGAATTAAAAAATGTATTTACTGTTATTCGTTGTTATTACTCAAATTAACCTACTGAGTTATTTAGTCAATGTTATTAGAAATGATTGTAGTTTTAATTGATGTTTATAAAGAAGGTCGACATAACTTAATTAATGCTGCCATACAAAGTATGAAATATTAGTTCTCTAACAGCATCTTTTATTTCGCAAATATTATTCCTAGAAACCATAGTTATTTTTTACCTTCTATCAGTGATTTTACTATCCTGAATAGCTTCCACTTCTATCAAGATCTTCATAGATATTGTCTTCAATATGATTTAGAAAACCAGATGATATGGTATTTTATAGTGTAAAAACAGTTTCAGGATTCAGAATCGCTTCACTTTCCATTAGAGAAATTTCGAAATTTTTTCGTCATATATCTCTTTCTGGAATTTTACTTCCTCCCCCAGATGCACATTTTATCTCTCTTAGAACTAAATATTTTCAGCTAGATGTTTCTTTCTAAGTTGGTGTTAGATGTAAAATATTTGATGATCCTTTTCATTTTATTTCTAATTGATGAAATTAGAAGACGAAGATTATATTCAATGTCTCAGTATTAAATTTAGATTTACCAGCTGTAAGTAATTTCTTTTAAAAAATTAATTCACAATTATTAGATAGCTCTAATATTCCTCTATGGCAAAAGATGGTGTTGCTGTTCCAATGTACATACGATTTGGACACTAAAATGTAGCTTAATGTATGTTGAATTTGATAAGAGGCGAATGTAGTGTTTTCAGTGAAGATTTTGCTCCGTGTCCTGTTTGCCAAAATGCAATGAAAAACCCTCTCAGTTTGGAGCTTCGTTCCAATTTGACGCTTCCTGAACGTTCCGCGCTATGCCACTGAATTTGATAAACAGGTTTTTTAGTATATATTTTTTCTTTCTTAATGCAGTTATTGTTATTATTTTTTAAGTATTACTTTAAGAAGAAGATAGCGTGGTTTTGATAGGGTGAATGTTAAGAAAAAAGTGTGCCTTGATAAATGATTTTATAATGCAGTTAAAAATAGTTTGGTTTGTTAAATACCATTTCCTACAGTATTCAAACTGAGATACTAATTCATTTTTAATTCTCCTACGAGTGTCACTGTTATTGTTTGAAACAGAAAAAGTACTACATCCGATTACGTAAGTTCTAGAACATTAAAAATATATAACAAATATTAGTTCAGTTACAAAGCACTGCAGTTACTAGCTTCATGTTACGGTTACGTGGTCAGAACATTCAACTAGCAGTTCGAAGTCCGTGGTACAAATCTTGGTGAAGACATAGTTGTTATTTCATGCATTCTAGAGCAGAAAAATCTTATAAACTCTACAAACAGCTTTCGCAGAATTAAGGTACCTCTTAATGTTTGAAAGACTGTCACCGTGGGCTGCAGGGTGGACAGAAGAAGCTGTCTGTCAATATGGAAGCGAAAGTGCAGAATCAAGTGTAAGGCGTGGCTACTTATCTGGTGTGTTTCCTCGCTCGAATAGGCGCATCATCAAACGTCTCATGGTGATGAGACGGTTAAATGGTCTATAGCTTTCAGGACATGGTCCCTTCGCTGTGTTTTACTATAAACACGCATTTACTAATACTGGTCATTGTGTGAGGGAGATTGTATCTCTAGATCACTATGCATAATGGAATGTCTCTTAAGGAAACAACACCATATTAAATTCCCTGCAGCTAATATCATATTTTTCAAAAAAATTCCTTATGAAGGAAAGACCCTTTCGTGTTTTTAAAATTTGTAAAATTATGAATCTACTTTCTGCACTGGGAAAATGTATTTGTTATTCCATTTAAAAATATGAATACCAAAAATAGCATTTGCACTTATTATAAAGTTTCATTTATAAGTTCACACACGTCAACTTTATTTTACAGGCATAAGATGTAACGGCTTAATTAAGACATTACATGTATAATACATGTTATGTATGTTTGATCGACACTCTATGAGTTATTCGATAACTTTATTTTTAATGTAATTGCATTTTATTCGTGTTTTATCAAAAAATTATACTTTTAAATTATGTACTGTAATATGTAAAATGTAATTAATTCGGTTATTACTATTTAAAATTAAAATAAATCTTGTTAACGAAAATTGTGAAACAATACCTGTTCACCATTGTAGACCAGGCGTACCCCTTCATCGTCAACTAAACTGAACAGATTGAATGAACGGAAGGTATCCTCTAATTAATAAGAATTAGAGTGAGGGGGACAATGAGCTATTTACGACAAACTGAAAAAGCTGACACAAAGTTTAGCAAAATAACGTCAGTATGCAACTTTTCCCATCAATAACACCTATTTTTAAGTAGATTTATCCTTTTCATTTTCGTACTTTGGAATTTACCACAGTAGCTGTTTTATGAGGGAACATTTCAGAAAACTGAAGATATTTGTTACTCTTTGCCATTCATTGTACTAAGTGTAATCGTTTTAGTATCTTAGATAGGTTTCATTACATCAAAAGTCAAGTTTCATAAGCAATTGTCCTAAAAGTTTCAAGGGTTTGTTTACTAATATTCTACATAATTCTACATAATTGTGAAGTTCTTTAATAGCCTGTGAATGCGAATGATCGATAAATTCGATTTAAGGTTTCTGTATTACAAATATCGCTAAAACTTATAACCTAGTAGGTTTTTGTGTTATTAGTGAATAATTCATTACTAATTAGTTTAATTAACCTATATAATCTGGACAATATGATATAAAGGAAAGTGAATTCAAATTCCGGATTACAGCAGTTCTGCACAAGTGCATTTTTGCATTAGTGCACAGTTCTTCACAAGTGCATTTTTGCGATATTTGACTGCTACAACAAGGGCATTTCCCATCATCTAAAAATACTGAGGCAGCCGCGACACTGCGCACTTATCAACCTTACTGACAGAGAGCACGACGAAGCAGCGGCAATAAAGCGACCTAACATCAAGTACACCACATCTTCTTTTAAATGTGCTAAGGTAATCTACTTGCTTTGATGAACATGCGATATTAAATTGTCACAATACCAAATTTACATACAATAGCACTATTAAAAATGAATACAACAGCAGATTGTTAAATCAACTAAAACTCATTCAATCAACCAAATATGTAAACAGCTTTAAATAATGTTCAAAATAACGAGGTTTATCATCGAAATTTACAATAAATATAATAAATGCAAAGCTTTCATCTTACCAGTTGGTCATCCTGAAACCACGTGATGAGAGGTGGAGGTTCTCCCTGTGCTGAACATTCCAGCCGCACAGTAGAACCCCAGCTAACGTTGTAAACGCTGCGACCACCTTTCAATTTCGCTGGCTCTGCGTCGGGGAAAAAAAAAAAAAAAATTACATTAAAATCAGGAAATAATGAAATGATGTTAAAGCAAGCATATAACTATTTTTGCATATCATTCTATTGACGATATTGAAATTCTTATCTGATTAATTACTATTATTTATTTAATTCAAGCATTAATTTTCCATCCCTACTGTCTAAAATGGCAATAAATTTAATATCATTCAGTGGTAACTAAACGTTCTCAATTTCACTGCATAAATTTCGGGACATATCCAAATGAATTGCGTTTTGTATATTTTCAATCTAAAGCTAAGCAGATAGATACGCAGTTGTTACACTGGATTACTAAAGCGCTACTGGAATACTTCCAGCACCTGGCTGGAAGAATTCTAGTGAATATAAATTTCCTTACACCAACCAAAACTAGAATTTGAGGAGGAAGGAAAAAACACACACTTGAAAGAAATACAAGAAATAAACTTTAAATCCACTGCCCAATACAGCTATGAAAACACTAGTAAAGAACAGAGTAGACGAGTTCACAGGATGGTGAAACTTGTATTTTAGTGGGTAAGAAGCACAAGGTTTAAGCTTGTAGTTGTCCAGTAGCGCCTGTAATATCGATATTCTGCCAGTAACTGATGGTAAGCAAATTCTAGCATTCCAGATGAACTGACCTCGGTGTTTGCTTTCGGTATATTCAAAGTCCCTGGAGTTGATGCGTAGTGTCGCATACGTAAAAACGACTGAATAAAATTACCTCAGCCCAGACACTGACATCCGAAGACTTTCTTAAGATTAACTCGTTTTCCAATCGCCAGTTGGCGCCAGGGAAACTGTTCTTCCAATTCTGCCGTTAGTGAACGAAACCCACCAGCTCGACTTTTACAGCTTTCTTGCATATTTTTTTTGCATTTTCCATATAGAAGATAACATTTTCATGTTTGTTTAACTTAGATACTAATTTAAGTTGCGCAAAAGCGCTTAATTTTCTATTTCCATCCAAAGGCCTCAGAACACAACGCCAACTAGAGGTCAAAATTCGTAGCGACTGATCCCTCAAGAACCACCAACAATGTCCGATGTCCGAAATTCACAACACAGCTGAAGGTTCAACGAGCGTTCTACTGAGCACAACTTAAACCAATAAAAATGGTTCACAAAACTGAATGAAGATCGTAGAATGTGAATCCTCTATCATTCATTCTTCAGTGAATTAGAACGACACAGATGGGATTTCTTAACCCTGCGAAAATATCGAAAAAGAGTGCGATTGATCGGATTGTTAAATGACTACATCAGTTATTTACGAAATCGTAGATAATTTAGGAGTGGCTCTAACTGCTCCTCAGACGCTGAAAACACTTAACAAGATTTCAAACATTTAATTACAATAAAATGCACATTTAATTAATGCGTGCAATAGATGCACATTTAATTACAATAAAATATAAGGTAATAACTTCCATTAAGAATAAATGCTTTCAAGGAAGAGTTTCTAAGACAAACTTGTTCAGAAATCCACAACCACGTCTTTCCACCAAGAGGAATCGGAACATAATTCCCAACAAGCAAAGTTCTGTGGTTTTACCTTCTTGCTCGACAGTCGGTTTTAACTTCTATAGATCTGGAAACTATTAATTGTAGACACGCGTATTTACTCGAAGATAAGACCCATTCGAATTTAAGTCTTCCGTTACATTTTAGGATAAATTTTAAGAAACAAAATTACAAGTGAATGTTTGACGAGAGAGAGATTCTGAATGAATGATTCTAATTAGAATTCATTCTTTTCTGAATAGAGTAAAAGGAAAGCTACTTAATTAAATACAATCTTATGGAACAACAAGTAGGAACAATTAATGATACATTATCGGCTATTTGTTCTCAGGCACACGAATAACCAAAACAATGAATACTGACCTCAACTGACAGTTTAGGTTTTTAAAATGACAAAGCACATGAGGCTATTTGCTTAGCAGAAGGAATGTTCTCGTGGAGGAATTTTAACGACCAACTGGATCGTCATCTCGTTACACATAAGGAAAACCATGGAAACCAAACATGCAGCCTGATTCGTACTACCAGTATTTAGCAGTCTTAAACCACTTGGCAACTGACGGAAGGTCTAAACTGAAATCACTCAGATAGAGATGGCTATTTTATGCAGTTTATACACTAATCGCCTATATAATTTTTTTAATATTTAAGAAATGTAATTTCTGTAAAATATTTAATATTTAAGCAATGTAATTTCTGTATAATATTTAAGCAATTTAATTTCTGTATAATGTATATGTATTCAGTTTTAACTCCCTTCTATCAATGAAATTTTATAAAGCCTTTCCAAATTTTAAAACAAAAATACAGAACCAAAAAAAAAAGAGGGGATTATTTTCGACTAAATACGATGCAATTGATCACACATATAAATTCTAAAAGAAATGTCCAACACACTCATTCCTTTAAACTTATTTATTATGCAAAATGTACTTAGAAAAATAACTAAATCATTAATGAAATTTATTTTTACCTTCTCTGTATTACATAAATATTAAAACTCATAGCCGTCAGTTAAGAAATTAATATTTCTAATTCTTAAAGGGGGTAAAAAAATCATAAGCGTAAGTAACTGATAAATTAAAAAGTTGATTTAATTCCTTATTTTTATGAACGTTTTTAATTTATTCAATAACGATACGCTAATGAAGGGTCGTTGTTTAACTCAGTTAAGATATTGCACAAAAATGCAAAACTGGGAATTTCCCCGGGGAAATTTATTCTTCGACAGACAGTCAACATTTACTTTATTAATAATACAGCAAACGTAAAGCGATTAAATTACTTTGAAGTGAAAGAAAAAAAAAAGAGTACCATAATTTTTTTTTTAATTTGAAATCTCAGGTATCAGAACAAAACTATACTTCAAAAAGATAGCCCAAGATTAAAATGTCATAAAGTTATAAGCATACATTTGTGTTGAAAACAGACAATAAATAATTGTCTCGCATTGCGTTACGAAAATACCACACGTTATTTTACACTTCTAGCATGCACATTATTGTAATATATTCAGAAATATTGCATTTAAAATTCAGGAATATTTAATGATACTATCACAGGAAGGATTTCCTTGTACCCGCTTTTTTAAAATACATTTTATCTAATTTTTATAATTTATTCTAAAACTCCATAACTTGAGACCTTCTATAAATATATTATTATGTTTCAGTCATAAGGAATCGCGCACGGAATAATCGAATTGCTAGCAATCAGCTACCTTTGTCGTTCGTCCTTTGATACGTATTTCATTTGTTGAAATACATTGATGAAGAATTAATCAGCAAGTCACAAAACATAGTAAGTTTTTAAAATTATTAAGAATTACTAACTAACAAGGCTAATATACTGTACTACTTTTTTTTTCGATTTATCGGTCTTACAAAAAATCTAACCTTAAAATCAATATGAATCTATGGAATGACAGATTTTGCTTTATTTCTCCAAAAATTTTTATGCATTAATTTCCTTTAAAATAATAAAAAGAAATTTAAACCAAATTAAAAAAAAAAAGAAAAGACTACCTACTTCAGAATTTTAACTTTAACCCTTATCACTAGTACTTTACCACAACACAAACAAGGGACTCGACATGGAAAGAAATTTAAATAATATAAACTTATTTAGAACTTTAGGTTAATCTTTTAGCTTATTGTTGAGATGTGCGCACTTGTGCTTTGCTTACAAGCTTGAAGACTCATTAGGTTGTTTCGAGAAAAATAGACTCATTAGCAGGAGAGATGAAAAATGAGGAATGAGACTCGAACCGCGGACCTCTGGAATACACATCAAGCGTGCTCACCATTACACCACGAAGGCAAGCTAAGGCGGCGGGAGAAATACCTTAAATACTCCCCCTTTTAAAGGGCGACTGGGGTTTAGAGACCCAATCGCAAAATCCTGGTGGTGAAGAATCATCATTCATCATCTTTCTTAGTTCGGGCGCCATTGCAGACACATTAGGTTATTTCGAAGCAGGAGAGATGAAAAATTAGCAATGCCCTCGCCGGGACTCGAACCACGGACCTCTCGAATACGCATCGAGCGTGCTGACCAGTACACCACGAAGGCATGCTAAGAAGGCGGGAGAAATACCCTATAAGATGATTTTAAGTTTCTGCATAAGTATTCAAAATTTAATCGGAGAGGGTCAGCCCAAGGTTGCGGGCTCTCTTTGTAAAGTTCACAGGGATTTCGAAAAAACATTTTTTTAATCTATATTTTAATTTTTAAATTAAGCACATTATATATATATATATATTCATAAACATTATATATACACAGGGTATCTCATGTGCTACAAACTTGTAGAGAGGTAGATAAATCCAGATGACTTGGAATTGCACAGCAAAGCACGGTCGGAAATACTTTGCGATGCGGTAGACGGCGTTGCTCGGTTGTCGCAGCTCCATTTCGTGCACGAATGCAGAGATAGTAGGATGGATGATTTATGAGGATGAGGATTTCGCTGATAGGAATCGGGTAAACGGAACAACTTAAGACGTTACCTCTGAGTAACAGTGGATCAGACATAAAAGTCTGGTCTGGCCTGCTCCATTCACGGACGTGTCATGCTTTGATTATCTTGTCTAGAGAAATAAGAAAATAGTATTGTATGACACCCTCATTGACAGAGCCGAGGAATTGGTTCCCTGCATCGCAGTAGCTGCCGGGAAGATTGGATTGGGTTTTTTAATTACGGCAAAGCACACGAGGACTATCTGCTTAAAGGGAGGGATGCCTTCGTGGAGGATTTCCTAAAGCTGCCGGAAAGTCTGAGACATGCCCGAAATCTTCCAGAATATTCTAAACTTCACATAAAATCTATAACAGTACTGTCTGTATTCCTGTAGGAGATTTAAAGTCTTCGTTGAGGACAGTTCGCCCACCTACTTTGAATTCTGTTACTTTTGTAGATATATACTGCCCACGTTGTGCAGACTGCGGTCGAAGTACTTGG